AAAACATTTCCGGAAAAATTTTAAAAAAACCCCTTACCCACCCCCCCTTTTTTCCAAAGGGATTTTTTAAAAGAAAAAAATTGGCCCAAAATTAAAAATCCCAGAAATAAACAACCCGTAAATTTAACTCCCAAATCAATCCCCCCCGTTTTCCCTTTCCCCTTTTTCTTTTTACCCCATCCCCAAAGCCGTCAAAAAAACCCTTTTCCTCCAATTCCCCCATCAAACACTTCACTGAAAAGGAAAACTGGGTCCCGGGTTTCCCCAAAATTTTTTAACCCCCCCTTTTTCCCCAAACCCACCTTTGGAACCCTTTTGGGCCCCCTTCCCAAGACTTTATTCTTTGTAAATGTCGAGTCTTCCACTATCAAGGGTTCCATAGGGGGACAAGGTGTTGGAACGTTGGGCCCACGGGTTTCCCGGGCAGGGTGTTTTTCCCTAAGTGCTCAGCCGTGTCAGCTTTCCTGGGAAAACTGTATCTTCACTGGTAATAATTCTTTTTGCCCCCCCACTGTTTTGCCCTTTAAATTTTCTTGCTCCCGGGACCTGACTTTTTCACTTCAGTAAGGAGTGGGGTTCTGCCTCCCCTTTTTTTGTGTTAGGGGAAGGCAATAGGTTATCAACTCTAGGAAAATCTCTTAAAGGGTTTTTAAATTTATCATTGGGGCTAGCCTCTTTCCCCTTTTTTTCCCCGGCACAGCTAAGCAGACATTCCCAAAAAAGTAGCAAGTTGTCCATCCCTTGATGGTTGGGGGAGCATTTAAATAGGGAACCATCGTTTACTTTTTTCAGGGGGTCTGTAAGTTCCCAGCTGCGGTGGACGGGTGTTTGGGGAAATATTTGGAGTGTCCTGGTACCTGGGCTTAATTCTTCCAAGAGATTGTCTGATGGTGAAAATCTTTTTGGAGGGGGTTTCAGGTCCGAGGTGGCCGGGATCATCATTTTCCACAGGAGGACATCCTGAACCGGGAAACGTTTGAAAATTTTTCCCCTACCACCCCCTATATTTCAAGTATGTTTTTTTAAAGACAAAAAATACTTTGGGCCAACTTTCCAAAAATACAACAGCAAGAAAAACAACTGGGTAACTCAGACTACATCCGAAACTTCGCCCAGCCCCCTGGGGTGGGCCGCATGCCCGATGTTTCAGCATTTCCTCTCGATCACAACACGATCCTAAAAGAGAAAGCGGTCGCCCTGGGGTCCGGTTTCTATAGACTTTTCACCCCCACTTTTTGGGGAATTTTTAGAGCCCCTTCCCCTGCTCCAAGGGTCTCCGACCCTATTGGAATAAATTATAGCAAGGGGGAAGGTCTTCATATTTTCGGATTTTCGGGTCCCCTGTGGCTGGCAGCTCCACCCCTCCACTGGGAGTATGGCAATTTTGGGTCTCCCAATGTGGCGCACGGTGTAGCCCCGGGCAATCTGTTTTTCCATCCTTCCGGGGTAGCATAGGGGCTCCATCGGACGCTTTTGCTTCCATCAGACCTCTGTACTTGGGGGTTTTTTCCCGTTGAGCTGGCAAGGGGCTGTGGCGAGGCTTTCTTTATGATGTCATTCACCCCTCATGTCGGCATACTTCCTTCTGCGTTGACAACAAGACCATGAAGTCCAATTGACACTGCCCCTGCCGCAAATACCCCCTATGTTCTGTGAGGATGGGGGGCTAGGTGAAGAGCAACACCAATCCGAATGGCCTGGGGGTCGAGAGGGGGGGGGCCCCAGGAAATTGGGAACAGCTAACAGGGAACCCTGAGTTGGGGGTGCCTTCATGCCGGGAAAGACGGTTTTTTTCCTTTCCTGAAGCTTTGGGAGACATTGTGTTGGCGATTTTTTCCATACCGTTTGTCCCAGTGGGACTGTTTGCACGGGGGGGGAGCTGGTCACTGGGGGAGTCTGTAAGGGTGTCCCACCGAACGCTGCTTGAAAAACCTGGGGTCTTGAGCTCCACCACGTCTCCAGCGTTGGGGGAACTATTTTCTTGACTAATGCACGGGAAAACCCAAACACAAGACAAAAAAGCGGGAAAAGCAACATGAAATGCTTTATGCCCCCAAAACCCTCCAAGTCGCACGGGGGGGTTGCCTGATCCCATTGCCACCTCTAGGACAGGTTTGTGCCCCCTTTAAAAAATTTATCCCAGATGTGCGTCCCCTGTTTTATCGAGGTTGGGTTGTCCCCAAAAAGGGGCACACCCAAAAAAGTAAGTGAGTCGCATAGTAAACACCTTGTGGGAATACAGAGCACATGGGGATCAAATTGCTTATTCCTCCTCCATTTTCATCACATTTAATTTGCCCGAGGGCGTGCGAGGCCTGGTACCCACGGTCCCCCCCAAAAGGTCGTTGGACGGGGTGGTAGTTTAGACTTCCGGGGGAATTCTTTTGCACAGCATTGATTATTTTTCCTGTTCGCTGTGAGATTTTCACACTTGGAAAGGATGAGGGTGAGTCCCAAGTCTTTTCCCCGTTTTTCACCATTTAGGCCCCCCCCAGGGGCTCTTTAGTACCTCAGATGCCGTCATCCGGTACCAGATATTGAGCCACTGGTAGGCTGGGAAAATTTGTTCTCTTACTGCCAAGCAAAGAGAAGTAGCGAGTGGGTCACCCTGCTAACACCCTCTGAGATGAATTTCATGTTCTCCAAACAACAAAAGAAAATTTAGGGTTTGCTGTAGCCGGGTGAAATGAAGGGAAAAAGACTTGGGAACCGATCCCGAACAGCTGACAAAACAGCATCCTCTTCGCCATATTTAAAAGGGACTTCTAAAATAAAGTTTGCTATGCCTTGTCCTGGTAAGCCCCCGAGTAGGCCCCTTCGGATGACGCACTTCACGCCTTTAGAGGCCCCAAAGCCCATTGGGGTGACTGGAGTAAAGGGCAGCTTTTAGGCAATTTTTTCTCAAGCTGCTTTGGGAACGGAAAAGGGAAAAAGGGGTTTCCACTGCAGCGGGCTGATTCCCCCATCCCTCTTCTTTAAAACCATAGTGAGGGGTCCAAAAAGAAATTTAATTTCTTCTGGATTTTGCCCAGCCAGGGAATTGTTGACGGGAAATTTTAAACTCGGTGAGAAGAATTTATGCAGAAAACCCCAGTACTGGGTTTACCATCTCTTTTAGGGATGAGGTCGAATTCCAGTGAAAACCCCCGCAATTTCCCGCTGGAAAGACACATCGCTTTTTTAACTTTTGTTTCTGGCAAAATTAAATTGGTTTAAAACATATAACAAATAAAAAATGGACCCCCGGTTACGATATTTTTTTCCTCCAGAATTTTGTTCAGGTGCCATACGACCGAATTTGTTCCCATAAGGAATAGTGAATAATTATCTATTTCAACCCCCAACCAAACACACAAATCACTTACAAAATCACTTACATAAATTTACGCATTCGGAGGTGATCTTATGCGGGGGCCGTGGTATATATATATATATATATATAAATATATATTTTATAATATATAAAATATATATATATATTAAAAAATAAATTTTATACTGGACCCCCGGGTTTAAAGAAATTTTTTCATCCAGAAGTATGTTTGGTACCAGTACTGACCGAATTTGTTCCCATAAGGAATATTGTGAAGTAGATTAGTCCATTTCAGACCCCCAAACATACAAGTACAAACGCACTTACATAAATACACTTACATAATTGGTCGCATTCGGAGGTAATCGCTATGCGGGGGTCCACTGTATATACATTATATATATATATATATATATATATATATATATATATATATAATAATATATATATATAATATATTATATATATATATATATATATATATATTACACCTACCATCTGACTTACGACCTGCTCGACTTATGACCACTCGACTTACGACCGTGTTTTTTATGCCAAATTTTTGGGAAATAAACAACTATTTGTGTTGTACACAGTGTTTATCCTAAACTTTACAGTATAAAATACAGTACTAACAGTATAAAAAGTAAAGTAAAACATGAAATACCAAAATAAAACATTAAAATAAATTCATTACAAAAATGTTTTGTTGATATTCAGTAGTAAAGTTCGACTTACGACCCTTTCGACTTAAGACCGGTTTCTCGGAACCGAACTCAGTCGTAAGTCAGATGGTAGGTGTGTATATATAATTAAAATATATATATAATATAATATTATATATATAATTTTTTTTTTTTTTTTTTAACAAGTCGGCCGTCTCCCACCGAGGCAGGGTGACCCAAAAAAGAAAGAAAATCCCCAAAAAGAAAATACTTTCATCATCATTCAACACTTTCACCACACTCGCACATTATCACTGTTTTTGCAGAGGTGCTCAGAATACAACAGTCTAGAAGCATACACATAAAGATACACAACATATCCCTCCAAACTGCCAATATATATATATATACAATATATATATACAATATATATATATATACATATACGTATATATATAATATATATATATATATATATATATATATATATATATATATATAATATATATATATATATATATATATAACCAAGGCAGGGTGACCCAAAAAGAAAGAAAATCCTCAAAAAGAAAATACTTTCATCATCATTCAACACTTTCACCTCACTCACACATAATCACTGTCTTTGCAGAGGTGCCCAGATATAATAGTTTAGAAGCATATATAAAGTAATAACATACCCCTCCAAACTGCCAATATCCCAAACCCTTCCGTTAAAGTGCAGGCATTGTACTTCCCATTTCCAGTACTCAAGTCTGGCTATATAAAAATAACCGGTTTCCCTGAATCCCTTCACTAAATATTACCCTGCTCACACTCCAACAGCTCGTCAGGTCCCAAGAACCACTTGTGAATTAATCTACATAATAAGACAAAGACTGAGCAGTGACATATGACATTGAAAGAGATCAGAGATTTGTGAGGTTTGTTTTAAAGGAAAGTTTAATTAAGATAAATGATGCAATTAAAGTCTCATTAATACTGATTTCTCTGTTTTCTAATATGCTGATTAACTTCTGCAGACCCCAGAAGAGTGGGCCACAAGCTGTTATGGGGCATTGAACCTTGGTTGGTCTGTGTGTGAAGAATCCAACAACAGCGGCAGCAATTGCAGTAGTAGCAGCAGCAGCAATAGTAGCAGCAGACGCCCTTCAGTGTCTGTAGTGTCATCGCCATGGTTAACTAGTGGCAGCCAGGCTCCTCCAGCATCAGGAGAAATAGATAAATTTATTCGTCATCGGTAAGCACCTGCTATTGGGTAATCTTTTTCTTACTAATATATAAACTTGGGTTCAGCCATGAAAATGAAACCTCTCTGGGCACAGTTTTAGCACATAATGTTAAAAATACTGTAAATATTTGTTTTTACCTCAACGGTTGTCTTTCACCAGGGTAGGGTGACCCCAAAAAAGTAAATACATTCACCATCATTCATTAAATCACTGTCTTGCCAGAAGTGTGCAGACCGTCCTTCAGAGTACAGGCACTATCCTTCCCACTTCCAGGACTGCAACATCCCCACCACTCCTTCAATCTGCAAGCACTCCCCTTCCTACCTACATGACTGCAACATCCCCACCCCTCCTTCAATCTGCAGGCACTGCCCTTCCCACCTACATGACTGCAACATCCCCACCCCTCCAGGATTCAAGTCACTTAACCTTTTCACTGTCGGTGATGTATAGGTATGGCTTACAAGCCAGTGTCGGTGATGTATTAATATGCCAAAATTCTAGCAGCTTCAGATCTAGCGGAAGAAAGCTGGTAGACCTACATGTGAGAGAATGGGTCTGCATGGTCAGTGTGTGCAGTATAAAAAAATTTCTGCAGCACACAGTGCATAATGAGAAAAAAAAACTGACTGTTTTTGGTTTAAAACTCCAACTTTGAGGTGTATTTTCGTATGGTATTTATGGTTGTATTCTCATTTTCTTGGTCTCATTTGATAGAATAGAAGATATACTACAGAAATAGAGATGATATTGCTTGGTTTCATGATGAAAAGTACCTTGAACTTGAACTCAAAGTTGCAGAAATGTTTGTTGTTTTGCCAGTGTTCAAGAGTAAACAAATGATGTCTCTGTCCAATATGTGTCCAACTGGCCAGTCTAATACGCAGTCATGAATGGGTTGACATTATACCATTATTAAAATAATGCAGTAGTCTGCATAACAGTAAGTCTTCTATTTTTTTGTGTGAATAAAAATTCAAAATGGAAAGCAAGAGTAATGTAAGAGGGGCCTGGAGACATGACTTATTAACAGAGAAAATGTTATATTAGTGCCAGGAATGTCTGCATTGTTTATTATGGACCCTATTTTGAAATTTGTGTGAAATTGGCCAAATTGCTAATTTCTGACCATTTTATTGGGTAGTTAAAATTGGTAAATGGGCAGTTTCTTGTACTCAGTCCGTAGAACAAATGGAGTTCTAGCAACATAGCTATAAGTTTGGTCGACTGGAACAGTAGAGTTGGGCACAAATAGGGCTCAGAGTGGGCAAAATCACTGATGCATATTTATCGCCAAGACCGCTAACTTCACGAGAGCATAATTCCATAAGTTTTCTATCAAATTTCGTACTTTTGGTGTCATTACCATCGGGAAAAGTTTCTCTATCATTTTTTTTAATTCTTCGACGCTGAGAGCAAGTTTGTGACCAGAGGTCTTGACAGTGAAAAGGTTAAATACAGTGGACCCCCGCATACCGATTTTAATCCGTGCAAGAGGGCTCATTGGTATGCGAAATAATCGGTATGCGAATGAATTTTCCCCATAAGAAATAATGGAAATCAAATTAATCTGTGCAAGACACCCAAAAGTATGAAAAAAAAAAATTTTACCACGTGAAATATACATTTTCCTACACACAAAGAGAAGGATACATGCACAATAGTAGAGTAGTACATGCACAGTATATATTGTGCATGTACTAGTCTACTAAATGAAGAATAAATGACACTTACCTTTATTGAAGATGCAGCAATGACTGATGAGACACTGTGTCCTGGGAGTGCCTTTTCCTCCTGAGTACTGTAGGTCCTGTTTGGTATTTTCTTCCAGAACATGCCTTATCACACTGTGTATGTCACTACGATTCTTAAATCTCTCAAACCAACCTTTGCTGGCTTTAAATTCACCAATATGAGCACTAGTTCCAGGCATTTTTCCCTGTTCACCTGGGTGTTAGTCGACTGGTGTGGGTTGCATCCTGGGAGACAAGATTAAGGACCCCAATGGAAATAAGTTAGACAGTCTTCGATGACACTGACTTTTTTGGGTTATCCTGGGTGGCAAATCCTCTGGGGTTAATTGTTTCTTGGTATATTCTCAATAAGCCACAACCAACAACAGTGCTACAGCAGCAGCAGACGATGCTACAGCAGCAGCAGACGATGCTACAGCAGCAGCAGACGATGCTACAGAAGCAGCAGACGATGCTACAGCCCGCAGCAGACGATGCTACAGCAGCAGCAGCAGCTGACCCGTGCTACAGCAGCAGCAGACGATGCTACAGCAGCAGCAGACGATGCTACAGCAGCAGCAGACGATGCTACAGCAGCAGCAGACGATGCTACAGCAGCAGCAGCAGCTGACAGTGCAGCAGCAGCAGCTGTACCACCAATAGTAGGATGGTTGATTGGGTTTATTATACAACCTGGCCAGCTCGGAGACACGCACTCCACTTTCATACTTATCAATGATCTTTTTCTTCATCTCTATAGTAATTCTCACCCTTATTGCTGTAGGGTTGGCACTAGAAGCTTTCTTGGGGCCCATGGTCACTTATTTTCCAGATAAAATCATCAAAAACACTGTAATAATACGAAATGTTACGATTGTATGCTTGGATGCTACCGCGGAGGCTGGCTGGTAAACAATGCCACCGGCGGAACATGTGAGGCTGGCTAAGGCGCACATTGGACGCATCTCGGACGAACAGTGGTGAGCGGGTTTTTAAGCGGTATGCGAGACAAAATTTTTGCGATTAAAGCAAGCGGTATGGGGATTAATCGTTATGTGATGCCAACGGTATGCGGGGGTCCACTGTATATGAAAGAGTAATTAGTAAATGCAGTTTGTAATTAACATTTACACACTTGTTGCATTAAATTGTTTCAGTTTCTTGATGATGGGGAGTTGTGTGAAAGTTTCACATATTTGCAATGAACTGGTAACCCTTTTACTATCGAGAGCCCCGATCACAAACCTGCTCTCAGTGTCAAAATATATTAAAAAAAAATTATTTTTCTTACCATATTTTTCTGTTTGTTTTAAAAGAAAAAAACGCTTTGCGATCAGTACTTACTGAGATATAGAGGCGTGAAGTTGACAGAAAGTAAACCGCTTATGGCAACATCGGCAACTGCCGCTCACGTGGTAATACAGGTCCCCCATCACTAATCCGGCATCATTGGGACCTGTAGTGTTCTGGATTAGTGAGTTTGCCAGATTAGAGATTGGTTAGGTTAGAATAAACTTATTTAACCAATCAGTAGAGACTTTCTGCTACATCTTCCTCATTTTCATCACTTCTTTCTCCTCTACTGGCTTGCTGCTGTGGATTTACAACCATCTGCACAATTTCTGAGTCAGTATAATGATGAAATTTGAATTAGTATGATGATGAAATTTGAGTCAGTATAATGATGAAATTTTAAATTATGCTAGCCAAAATTAGTGCAGGATTACTGATGGAACTGGATAACTGATTGCCAGATTAGTGATGGCCTGCCCAGTCTTTTGCTTGTATAGGGAGTGATTTCTGTATGCAGATTAGGGACCTTTTTTTCTTGGAATTTCCGGGTGTAGAACATGATGTATCTCTCTTGCCTGCATTCAAGTTAGGTGCTTTCAAGCACTCTGAGTAGTTAAGGTATTTAATGGAACTTATATGTGCAGTAAATGTTCTCTGTACATTCTCTAGATCTGTGATTTCACCTGCCTTGAATGGAGATGTTAATGTAGAGCAGTATTCCAGCCTAGAGAGAACAAGTAATTTAAAAAGGATCATCACTGGCTTGGCATCTCTTGTTTTGAACTTTCTCATTATCCATCCTGTCATTTTTCTCACAGATGTGATAGTGGCACTGTTGTGATACTTCAAGGTAAGATCCTCAGACATTACCACTCCCAGGTCCTTCACATTATTTTTGCACTCTGTTGTGTGATTAAGAGTTTGTAGTATACTCAGTTCTAGCTATTATTTTTTTCAGTTTTCCATGACACAGTACATGTAGTTCGAATTTGTCTTCATTGAACATCATGTTGTTTTCCATTGCCCATTGGAAAACTTAGTTTATATATTCTTGGAGATTTACCATGTCTTCAGTGGATGACACCCTCGTGCAGATCCTAGTATCGTCTGCAGAGGATGATGTGGTGCTATGGTTTACAGGTCTGTCTGTGTCTGATATGAAGATGATGAACAGGATGGGGGTGAGTACTGCACTTTATGGAACAGAGCTCTTTACTATAGCAGCTTCCAGTTTAACTCTGTTTACCACTACTCTTTGTGCTCAGTTGGTTGGAAGGTTGAAGATTCATCTGCCCACTTTGCCAGTTATCCCATTAGCAAGCATTTTGTGTGCTATTGCACCATGATCGCACTTATCAAAGGCTTTTGCAAAATCTGTGTATACTACATCTGCATTCTGTTTGTCTTCCAGTGCATCCAAGACCACATTATAGTAGTCCAGTAGTTGCGAGAGGCAGGAGTGACCTGCTCTGAGCCCATGTTGCCCTGCATTGTGCAGTAGTTGGAAATCCAAGTGGTTTGCAATCCTGTGTCTTAGAACTCTCTCAAAGATTTTTATGATGTGGGGTATTAGAGCTATTGATATATATTGGAGCGGAGGAGAGAGAGGTACATGATAATATATACCTGGAAGGTACTCGAGGGCTTGGTACCAAATCTGCACACTGCCATAACAACATACTGAAGTGAGAGATATGGGAGGAAGTGTAAAATAAACCCAGAGAGGAGCAGGGGTGCGATGGGGACAATAAGGGAACACTGTATCAACATCCGGGGTCCCAGACTTTTCAACATCTTACCAGAAGATATCAAAAACACTGCTGGAACAAGTGTTGAAGCCTTCAAGAGGAAACTAGACAAGTATCTCCTCCTCTGCTGCCTATTCCTTTGCCTCCTCCTCCTTTTCCTCTGCTGCCTCCTCCTCCTCCTCCTTTGCCTCCTCCTCCTCCTCCTTTGCCTCCTCCTCCTCCTCCTTTGCCTCCTCCTCCTCTTCCTCCTCCTCCTCCTTGCCGCCTCCTCCTCCTCTTTGCCTCCTCCTCCTCCTCCTTGCCTCCTCCTCCTCCTTCTTGCCTCCTCCCCCCTCCTCCTCCTTTGCCTCCTCCCCCTCCTCCTCCTTTGCCTCCCTCCCCCTCCTCCTCCTTTGACCCTCCTCCTCCTCCCATCCTTTGCCTCCTCGTCCTTTGCTCCTCGTCCTTTGCCTCCTCCTCCTTTGCCTCCTCCTCCTCCTTTGCCTCTTCCTCCTTTGCCTCTTCCTCCTCCTCCTTTGCCTCCTCCTCCTCATTTGCTCTTCCTCTCCTCCTCCTCCTTTGCCTCCTCCTCCTTTACCTCCTCCTCCTCCTCCTCCTTTGCCTCTTCCTCCTCCTCCTTTGCCCCCTCCTCCTCCTCTTTGCCTTCCTCCTTTCCTCCCACCTTTGCTTCCTCTCCTCCTTCCTCCTCCTTCTTCCTCCTCCTCCCTTCTCCTTCTCCTCCTTCTCCTCCTTCTCCTCCTTCCCTCCTCCTCTCCTCCTCCTTCTCCTTCTTCCTCCTCCTCCTCCTCCCTTCTCCTCTCCTTTCCTCCTCCTCCTCCTCCTTTGCCTCCTCCTCCTCCTTTTCCTCCTCCTCCTCCTCCTTTGCCTCCTCCTCGCTCCTTCCTCCCTTTGCCTCCTCCTCCTCCTCCTCCTTTGCCTCCTCCTCCTCCTCCTCCTTTGCCTCCTCCTCCTCCTCCTCCTTTGCCTCCTCCTCCTCCTCCTTCCTTCTGCCTCCTCCTCCTTCCTCCTCCTCTTGCCTCCTCCTCCTCCTCCTCCTTTGCCTCCTCCTCCTCCTCCTCCTTTGCCTCCTCCTCCTTTGCTTCTTCTTCCTCCTCCTCCTCCTCCTCCTTTCCTTCCTCCTCCTCCTTTGCCTCCAACTTCTTTGCCTCCTCCTCCTCCTCCTCTGCTGCCTCCTCCTCCTCGCTGCCTCTCCTCCTCCCTCCTCTGCTGCTCCTCCTCCTCTCCTTGCCGCCTCCTCCTCCTCCTCCTCTGGCCTCCTCCTCTCCCTCCTCTGCTCCTCCTCCTCCTCTGCCTCCTCCTCCTCTCCTCCTCTTGCCCCTCCTCCTCCTTTGCCTCTCCCCCTTTCCTCTCCTCCTCCTGCTGCCGCCTCCCTCCTCTTGCCTCCTCCTCCTCCTCCTCTTCCTCCTCCTCCTCCTTTGCCTCCTCCTCCTTTGCTCCTCCTCCTCCTCCTCCTTTGCTTCCTCCTCCTACTCCTTGTTTGCCTCCTCCTCCTTTGCCTCTTTCTCCCTTGCCTCCTCCTCCTCCTTTGCCTCCTCTTCCTCCTTTGCCTCCTCCTCCTCCTTTCCTCCTCCTCCTCCTCCTTCCTTCTCCTCTCCTTTGCCTCCTCCTCTCCTTCCTCCTCCTCCTTCTGCTCCTCCTCCTCCTCCTCCTCCTCCTCCTCTCCTCCTCCTCCTCCCTGCTCCTCCTCCCTCCTCCTTTCTGCCTCCTCTCCTCGCTCCTCCTCCTTTGCTCCTCCTCCTTCCTTTGCCTCCTCCTCCTTTGCCTCCTCCTCCTCCTCTCCTCCTCCTTTGCCTCCTCCTCCTCCTCCTTCCTTCCTCCTCCTCCTTTGCCTCCTCTCCTCCTTTGCCTGCTCCTCCTCCTTTGCCTCCTCTCCTCCTTTTTCCTCCTCCTCCCTCCTCCTCCTTGCCTCTCCTCTCCTCCTTCCTCCCCTTGCCTCCCCTCTCCTTTGCTTCTTCCTTCTCCTCCTCCTCCTTTGCTTCTTCCTTCTCCTCCTCCTCCTCTTTCTTTGCCTCCTCCTCCTCCTCTTTCCTTTGCTTCCTCCTCCTCCTTTGCCTCTTCCTCCTCCTCCTTTGCCTCCTCTTCCTCCTTCTTTGCTTCCTCCTCCTTCTCCTCCTCCTCCTCCTCCTTCCTTTACCTCCTCCTCCTTTGCCTCCTCCTCCTTTGCCTCCTCCTCCTCCTTTGCCTCCTCCTCCTCCTTTGCTTCTTCCTTCTCCTCCTCCTCCTTTGCTTCTTCCTTCTCCTCCTCCTCCCTTTCTTTGCCTCCTCCTCCTCCTCTTCCTTTGCTTCCTCCTCCTCCTTTGCCTCTTCCTCCTCCTCCTTTGCCTCCTCTTCCTCCTTCTTTGCTTCCTCCTCCTTCTCCTCCTCCTCCTCCTCCTCTCCTTTACCTCCTCCTCCTTTGCCTCCTCCTCCTTGCCTCTTCCTCCTTTGCCTCCTCCTCCTTTTCCTCCTCCTCCTCCTTTGCTTCTTCCTCTCCCTCCTCCTCCTCCTTTACCTCCTCCTCCTTTGCCTCCTCCTCCTTTGCCTCCTCCTCCTTTGCTTCTTCCTTCTCCTCCTCCTCCCCTTTTACCTCCTCCTCTTTTGCCTCCTCCTCCTTTGCCTCTTCCTCCTTTGCCTCCTCCTCCTCCTTTGCCTCCTCCTCCTTTTCCTCTTCCTCCTTTTCCTCCTCCTCCTCCTCCTCCTCCTATTATTATTATTATTATTATTATTATATACTTCCACATATCAAAACATTGCTGGGACCTATAAATACTTTGTATATATTCCAAGACAATAGTAAATGACCAAGGCAGGTGTAAATGTCCACCTGTCAGTGTGTTTGTGACAATGTGAGTACAATTTCAGTCCCTAATACTAGTGTCAGAACAAAGATTGGTTATAAAATGACAAGAACTACTATAAATTGTAATTAACCAAATAGAAAAATTATACAAAATAATATGAAAATAGAAAAAAAGGTATATCAGCAACACTTCTGCAAGTGGCAGGACTCGATGTTGCTGTCACGTGAGCGTCCAGTGCCAGCTTCTCGACCTCATATCTCTGTAAGTACTGACCCTAACTTTTTTTTTATCCTATAACTCTTAGAAAAATGTGCTCTTTATCTTCATTAAAAAAAAAATTATTTTTCAAAATATTCGGGGCACTGGGGTACTGAGCGTATATATACGTTTGGACCGTTTACTGGTTAATAATAAACAGATTGAAATGAATTTCCCAGCAAACATAAAACTGCATGTTTTAATTTTGGGTGGTGAAACTTTTGAAGTGTCAGTAAGGGGTTGATTCTTCGATTAGCAACGAATTCGTTTACCAAGTGAGAAGAGGCTGTATAGTGATTTAATGTCATATCTAATGATTTGCTAGGATTTTTTAAATATTTTCGTGTGGACATAATTCCTATTTTTCATTGTTAGGTGCAACTAATGCAATATTTTATCGTAGCAACGTTTTGCACTCCAGGAGCTTTGTCAAGTAGTAATGGCTTGACAAAACTTCTGGAGAGTAAAATGTTGCCACAATAAAATGTTGCATTAGTTGCATGTGTCCTTTTACCTAACTTATTGTCGGTAATTCTACCAATATTATTGCTATTTTTCATTGTTGCACAGTATATGTACATATATTGAGAATAAATTAATATGTTGTGCAATACTATGGATTTATTTGTTTATCTTCTTGTACTGAGTACTGTCCATCATTATGACTCAGGCTAGAGTAGTTACTTGTGGCTATTCCATCATATCTTTCACTTTTGTTTTTTAGGCTGCAACGAACTAACAAAGAAGGGACAATTACTAGTGGGCTACGCTACAGTCCCATACATGCTGATCACTCCGTCCTTGCACCAGCTCCCGTTCACCCAAGACACCATGCCCTCCAACATGCAAATGGTGAGCTATTGATTTTGTCTTATATTTATTTGATGTATGAAGAAAATTAATATACCCAAATTATTAAGTTCTTTCCATTTTTAACATAATAGCCATCTCCTGTCCAAGATATAGTGACCCCCCCTTCCTTTCCAAAAAAAAAAAATGAAGTCAGTGGTCAGTACGCTGAAGTCAGTGGTCACGTGTGGTCATACCTCTCCTGAGCTGTCTGGGTATTAGTGTGGGGTGTTACCAAGCACCATGGCTTGTTGTAGTACAGTGGTCCCTCGTTTATTGTATTTAATTCGTTCCTGGAGGTGCTACTATTATCGAAATCTATGATTTTCGAATCAATTTTCCCCATAAGAAATAATGTAAATACAATTAATCCGTTCCTGACACCCAAAAGTATTAAAGCAAAAAATTTTTTTACATGAAATATAGATGTAGTACATAAACAATACAATGTGACATGATGAATGAAACATTAACAGCATAACACTTACCTTTATTGGCGATTCTTCTTAGTGTATGGGAGACTGGAGGAGGGGAAAGATAAATTAGACACATGTGCAACTCTTGGGTATCTTTATTGAAGAAACGTTTTGCCACACAGTGGCTTCATCAGTCCATACAAAGGAGAATCTTGAAGAACAGGAGGAGAATGAGGTAATCAGTCCCTCAACCTTAAGTCGATGTGGTCAGTCCATCAATCTTGAATAGAATACGGCATACGTGCGGAGAAGGAGCTTATAAACCGTTGGGAGGAGTGGTGCAGCAGTCATAGGTGGTGTCACATTTGTTCAATGTGGAAGTAGGTTGTGCCCAAGAATTAGGCAAGCGAAGAATTCCCAAGTATTAAGATCCCAAGAAGTTGCAGTGTCTGACAGGTTTGTAGATGAATGGTTCAGAGAACCGACTTGTTGATAAATTAAACACAGGTGCAACTCTTGGGTATCTTATTGAAGAAACGTTTTGCCACACATGTCGGTTCTCTGAACCATTCATCTACAAACCTGTCAGACACTGCAACTTCTTGGGATCTTAATACTTGGGAATTCTTCGCTTGCCTAATTCTTGGGCACGACCTACTTCCACATTGAACAAATGTGACACCACCTATGACTGCTGCACCTCTCCTACCAACGGTTTATAAGCTCCTTCTCCGCACATATGCCGTATTCTATTCAAGATTGATGGACTGACCACATCGACTTAAGGTTGAGGGACTGATTACCTCATTCTCCTCCTGTTCTTCAAGATTCTCCTTTGTATGGACTGATGAAGCCACTGTGTGGCGAAACGTTTCTTCAATAAAGATACCCAAGAGTTGCACATGTGTCTAATTTATCAACATGTCGGTTCTCTGAACCATTCATCTACAAAGGAGGGGAGAGATTGGATTATTTACAGTTTGGGAGGGGAATCCCCTTCCATCAGCACCTCAGGTACCAATTGCTTTTCTGGGGTTACTTCTCTTCTCTGTTTCTTAATGCCACTAGGACCAGCTTGAGAGTCACTGGAGTCCTGTCTTGCAAAATAACTGTCCAGAGAGCTCTGTTTCTGGCATCTCTTTAACACTTCCCTAAAATGGGCCAAGACTTTGTCACTGTACATGTTGCCAACATGGCTTGCAACAGCCTTGTCAGGGTGATGTTTTTTCCATAAATCTTTCCATCTTACCCCACATTTCAGAAATCTCCTTAATTTCTGAAGAAGGCACTTTCTTCTATCTCTCTTCCTCCTCCTCTGCAGCAATATTCTGAGCTGCAATCTGTTGCTCTTCCTGCTGAAGCTCTTGCAGCTCCTCAATGGTGAGCTCTTTGTTGTGGTCTTCCACCAACTCTTCCACATCCTCCAAACTCATATCCAACCCCATGGAACTCCCCAGTGCCACAATAGATTTAACAACAGACATAGGCTCATCAGGGTCAGCCCCAAACCCTTCAAAATCCCACTTGTCGACACAATCTGGCCACAGTTTTCTCCAAGCAGAGTTCAAAGTCCTGGTAGTCACTCCCTCCCAAGCCATACCTATAAGGGTTATGCAATGGAGGATACTGAAGTGTTCTCTCCAAAAATCTCTTGGGGTCAAGTGAGTGTCTGAGGTCACATTCAAACACCATTGAAACATTGCTTTTGTGTAGAGTTTTTTAAAGTTTGCAATGACCTGCTGGTCCATGGGCTGGAGGAGAGGACTGGTATTCGGGGGCAAGAACTTTACTGTGATGAACCCAAACTCCTCGAAAAATTAGGTCATCCAAGTTTGGAGGATGATCAGGTGCATTGTCCATTACTAGGAGGCACTTGAGATCCAATTTCTTTTCCAGGAGGTAATTCTTCACACTAGGGCCAAACACTTCATTAAACCACTCGACGAAAATTTTCCCTCGTGACCCATGCCTTACTATTAGATTTCCAAAACACACACAATTTACTCTTCATAACATTGTTTTTCCTGAACACTCTGGGATTTTCAGAATGGTACACTAGTAACGGCTTCACTTTGAAATCCCTACTAGCATTAGTGCAGAACATGAGCGACAGCCTGTCTGTCATAGGCTTGTGTCCTGGCAGTGCATTTTTCTCCTGTGTAATGTAGGCCCTCTTTGGCATTTTCTTCCAAAAGAGGCCTGTTTCGTCACAATTGAACACTTGTTCAGGTTTCAGTCCTTCAGCCTCTATGTATTCCTTGAATTCATGCACATATTTTTCAGCCGCTTTGTGGTTCGAACTGGCAGCCTCACCATGCCTTACCACACTGTGTATGCCACTACGGTTCTTAAATCTCTCAAACCAACCTTTGCTGGCCTTAAATTCACTCACATCACCACTAGTTGCAGGCAATTTCTTTACCAGATCGTCGTGCAACTGCCTAGCCTTTTCACAAATAATTGACGTCATAATACTATCTCCTGCTAATTCTTTCTCATTTATCCACACCAATAATAACTTCTCAACCTCTTCGAGTACTGGTGATCTCATTTTTGTCAGCATATTTACCCCCTTTGCAACAACAGCGTCCTTGATTTCCTTTTTCTTGGCCACAATGGAATATATGGTTATATAGGGTTTGTTATACATCCTGGCCTGTTCGGCCGCACTTAAGCCACTTTCATGTTGTTCAATGATGTTTTTCTTAAATTCAATCATATTTTTCGCCTTCTTTACCAAAGGCTTGGCACTAGGAGCTTTCTTTGGAGCCATGGTAGCTTATTTAGTACTTGCAAGCACTAAAATGAATGGAATATTATGAAATATTTCGTAGGAGCAAGTGAGGGGACCGTCACTCACTGGTAAACAATGCCACACTGGCTGGGAAGGCTGCCCCAGCTCACAGCGTGTGTACGCGTCCCGGACGAACTACTATTCGCGAGTTAATCTACAATTAGCGAGCCCATGTTTATACGAAAATATCGCTATGATTTCCGAAATCTACGACTCTCGAGCCCTACGATTATCGAGGGACCACTGTATTTTAGAATCTCAGGTTAAAGTGTTGAAGGAGGTTCTACTTCTTCAGGAGGAAAATAGGAGGCTGAAGCTTCGCCTAGATGTGTTTGGGAGTGAGTGTGAGATAGTTGGTGCTGGTAAGGAGGAAATGCTTACCACCAGTGAGAGTGGCAGCTGCTTTAAGTGGCAAATGGTTCACAGTTCAGGAAGAAGGAAGATAAGGAGGGTTAATAAAGAAGATGTGAAGGTAGGAAATTGATTCTCTGTTCTCCAAGACGAGTGTACTTCAGTGGTTAGTTAGTTTAAAGGTACCTCTGACTCCCTTGCTAATCAAGGTAAGAATATTCTGATTGTGGGAAACTCTCAGGTAAGATATATGGACCATGCTTTTTGTTACAGAGATACAAAAGTCAGACAGAGGGTGTGCCTTCCAGGAGCCGGTGTTGGTGATATTTTCAGCAGGTTGGATAATATTATGACAATTAATGGGAACAAGCCCATTATCTGTCTTAGTGCTGGTGGAAATGACATTGGGAAGGGCAGGAGAGAGGTCTAAGGGAGGGATCCCTATCATTTGTAGCATCTTGCTTAGAAGGGGAGTGGACAATGAATGGATGTCTAGGGCAATTGCTATAAATTGCTGGCTAGACAGGTACTGCAAGGAACTTGCAATCCCATTCATTGATAACTGGGACAGATTCTTTGGCAAACATGATATGTATGCAAGAGATGGGGTTCATCTCTTTAGGGTTGGAGTGGTTGCCACTTCGATTGAGGGGGTAATTGGTGACTGATAGATTATATTGTAATTGGTAATTGGTGACTGATAGATTATAGAGGTATGGGTGTTTGTGAGAAACAATCATGCTGCAGTATTATTGTTGGAAACAGCAGATATTACCAGAATACCTCAGGGATATTTTTAAAAGACAATATTCAAAATAAATTAACTAATAAAGGCAAAGCAACTGATCAACAAACAGAGAGAGAGAGTAGAGGGCAACGAGTGACTAGCTCCCTTAAAGTTTACTATACAAATAGTAGGAGTCTAAGAAATAAGATAGATGAGCTAAGATTACTTGCAAGTGCGGGTAATATAGATATTATTGCTATAACTGAAACCTGGTTCAACTTGAAAGATAGAGAAATGCCTTCTGAATGCAGCATAAAGGGTTATAAACTATTCCACACTGATAGGGTCAACAGGAAGGGTGGTGGAGTGGCGATGTATGTCAGAGATAATTTAAATTGTTGTGTTAGACGTGATATAAGATTAGAAACATCGGACACAGAATTTGTTTGGCTACAGTTTCTTGAGGGGTATGAAAAATTAATTTTTGGTGTGATATATTGGCCCTTCAAACCTTGATAGGGAGTGCAGTAAGCTGCTATGGGAAGAAATTCATAAGGCATCTAGATATGAAAATGTGTTAATGGGAGATTTTAACTTTAGAAAAATTGATTGGAGCAATTTGACAGGAACTCTTGAGTCTAGTGACTTTCTTGATACAGTTCAGGATTGCTTTTTAAAACAGTTTGTGACAAAACCAACTAGAGGAAACAATCTG